GGTGGCATTTGTCTCTGTGGGAGTGGAGGTGGCACTTTATGACATTTTAAAACAAATTCAGGTGGGTCGGGGGGTGTTCAGGATGGAGACTTTGAATCCCCATCAGCAGAAGCTTCCACTTTACCTAAAAGACGCTCTGGCTAAAGGCAGAGCATGGGGAAGTGCACAGGAAGAGAATTCTACCAGCTTTGTTTTTGAGGGCTACCCACCCCCCAGGCCATCTCAAAATGGCTTGTTTGTTTATTTTTCATTGCTTTGATGTTTCAGGCAGAAGCTCTCAAACCAGCATACCAGACTTCAGTCAGCATCACAGACAGCACCAGATGATCTGTGTTTCAATGTCTGTCCCCCAGCCCTGCTGCCCAGCCAGATGGGCCACTGGAAGCACTGGATATGGCACCATGGGGTCATAGGAGAGAGCACTGCGGGGGCGGCAGGGGTGTGGCAGGCCCCTGGCAAAGCCCAGGCACCAGTCTCTTGCCCTCAGCAACATCTGGTGGCCATGACCTTCTCCTCGCCTCCTGGTGGAAAGCTGCTATGCAAAGGAGAAAAAATGATGGGTGTCTTGCATTTGCATCCTGTGTCCCTGCATGATCCTTAGGGTTTCCAAGCAACTTGCCACAACCCTTACAAGCCGGGATGGGTTTCCAGGGAGAAGCTGATTAGGTGTTATTCATTTAGATTTAAGGGTTTGGTTTCTCAGCATTTCTCGGAAGTCTTGTAAGTGTTGGAATCTGTTCCCCCATGATGGGAAGAACGTGGAACCTTCTTTTTGTGAGGATGTTGTCTCCTCATTACGTTGCCTTCGGAGTTTGGTGCAACAGGAAGAAGGTTGGCCATTTCTGGGGTCTTGTTTGAGCCTTTGCTCAAACTGTGCCAGAAGTGAGTAGCATCTCTGCAAATCCCACCAGGTAGTGGCTGCATGAAGGCCATGAGATTGGAGCTGGAGGATGCAGATTCAAGTGTCATGCTTTGCCTCATTGGTCTGAGCTTTAGCTATTCATCTGTAGGGCTGGAAAAAATAAAAAAAAATCTACTTCAAAAGTTTGTTGGGAGAATTATAAGAGATTCCACATGCAAAACATAAAAGAAAGGAAATCAGAAGCCCAGGAGGAGTACTTCAAACACGTCATCATTTATTTTACCTGGGCCTGAGTGTTTTGGGCTGGGGCTCCAGTGTGATGTTAACTGCGTCACTGATCTACAGAATGACTGGGGGGGTCTCATTAGGTAGTGAGGGCCCAGCACAGTTCCATTCTTCTGACCATCTACAATACTTTTCTTGGATGACTTTCTGTAGGAACGCCAAGATAGCTGTGTTCAAACATGCTTCTGTAAGTTGCATCACCTGAACTGCAAATGTCCAGCTTTAAAATGATTAACCAGTGGCACAGGTCCTTACAACCCTTTGAATGGCACCGAAACAGTCCTCTGTCCAAAGGTGCAGGAAATTGTCTGGTTTAAATTCAGCTTCTAATGCCTCCTTCACTTCCCCTGGTGGAAGGTTTGGCTTTTCCATGCTCCGTCTGAGTCTGCTTATTTACTCCATGGACTCCACTCTGTCTCCCTCCCACTGTCCCTTTTCTGTTAACTGACTGCTATTAAGGTTGATCTTATCACATAGAAGCAATCAAAAGAGAAGGAATTCTCATGAAACTTTTATCAAAGCAAATGCTACCAGTTATCAAGTAAACATAGATCTAGTTAAGAAGCAAAGAAAGACAAGACCCATATTAGTGAGTGTGTGGGGAACAGGTATTCACAGGTTCGTGAAATCTAGATGGACCTAGATTTAGTCCATATAGGAGAAGGCAATTTGACATAGCAGAATTCACTCGTTATCCGGGGACCTGGTCCTTGGATCCCCTATGGATAGCAAAATTCATGGATGCTGAAGTCCCTTATATACCTTATATACCTTATATAAAATGGCATAGTATTTACATATAACTTATATCCTCCCACATACCTTAAATCATCTTAGACTTATAATATCTAATCATCTTATGCTTACATAAGTGCTTTATAGTGTTATATTGTGTTGTTTAGGGATTAGTGACAAGGAAAAAAAAGATGCGCCTGTTTATTACAGATACAACCATTGTAAATCTAACAAAATTTTTGATCTGTGATTGGTTGAGTCCATAGACAGGGACCCCATGGGTATGGCAGGTTGACTCTACATAGAAAATTAATGATTATTGTATGCTAGTTTCACATCTATAAATACATCCTAAAGAAATAACCACATTAACATAGTTATGCATGCAAGATAGAGACCTTATTTTATAGTGTCATTTAACAATAATACTAAAAATTGGAAACATGGCAAATATTTAATAATAGTGCTTTGTTGAATAGGTGATGGGGTGTCCACATGACAATACACTATATGACCACTTAAAATAATAACCTAGATTAGGTGTTATTGATACAATTCAGAGGAAAAAATTGCAAAATATGTATGATTACATTTTTTTAAAACAAAGCATTAATAAGTGCATAAAAAACTTATGTATACCTTATGGGAGGGGGAACTTTTAAAGAGCTTTCCTTGTAAGTGGGTTTTGATCTTTCCTGACAATAAACAAATATTGCTTTTTTTTCACAAAGAAATTGCACACAGTATTTTAAAAAATATTTATTTATTTTTTTAGTTTTAGGTGGACACAATATCTTTATTTATTTTTATGTGGTGCTAAGGATTGAACCCAGTACCTCATATGTACGAGGCAAATGCTCTACTACTGAGCCACAACCCCAGGTCCACACATACAGTATTTTAAATAGAATCAAGACCACTAACTTAAGAGTTAAAAATACCCATATGACATTTCCATCGAAATCTCAATGCTTCTGTTTTCCTCTCTTTTTAAACTAGACTTGCTTCCCAGGATTCCAGAAATGTAAAAATCAAAGAAATAATTATTTCTCAAATAATGATATTGATTATCCCTGTGTTGAAATACTATTATTTTCAACAATATTATTTCCTACTGTTTTTTGCTGACTGCATTTCTATTTCACTTGGGCTGAATCAAAGCCCAAGAGGGATTCTCAGTCCTCTCTTCATTTCTGCTTGACCGTCCTTTCCAGCTGCAGCTTTGGAGAGGAAACAAATGTTGAAACCCCATCAGGGAGGCAGCTGTGTGCATCCCATCCCGTCTGGCTGGAAGGAATCTCTCCTGGAAACTAACCCAAGGGCAGAAGCTCATTTCCTGCCTTCTGGCTCCCTCCCAGCCCTGCCACCCCATCGCCACTTCCCCTGGCTCCCTCTGAGCCCTGTTCCTGGAGGGCTTTTGAAATTGGGTTTGGGGCACCTGTAGCTTGGCTCTCTCTCCCAAAGGGGGTTTAATTTGTCCATGAGAAATGAGTCAGCACCCAGATCCCGGAGCTATGAGAAACTTTCATTCTGAGATCTGGAATCTTCTGGAAAGCCCAGAAAGACTTGTTTTGGTGGGTAAAGGCGCAAGGCCAAGGATGGGGCACTTTGGTTTTGGGTTTGGTTAGACCTGTTTGCCAGAGCAAGCAGAGCTATCTTGTTAAAAACAGGAAGATGAATTGGTGTGGAATTTCCATGCTGGAATGAGAGTGCAGTCTGCTCTCCGGCTCTCTTGCCCCACAAGAACCCACTACCAGGGCACTCTTTAAAATTCTAGGTTCTATTTGAGCCCAGGCTCCGGGGGAGAAGAGCAGGATGGAGCATCAAGCTGAGAGATTAGCATGAAGGAATTTGAAGGATTAGGGCAAGTGAACAGCATAAGGTAAAGCTGGAGGCAGGGTAGGGTGAACCCAGCTGAGTCAGTCCTCCAAACCACCAAAGAAGGCTGCACAGGACTCAGGAGAAAGGCTCAGTGCTGTTAGTGAGGGGGGTTCCTAACTCTCAGTATACATCCACTGAAGAGAACAGAATCAAACACCAGGAAAAAACCCTGTTTCTAAAACTCAATGGAATTTTCTCTCACCTATACATATATGTGTACACACACACACATACACACATGCATATATAAAATACATGTATATGTGTGTATACATATTTAACATTTTAATTTAATTTTATTATTATTATTTTTTAAGAAGGAAAAATACCTCCTGGCAGGGCTGGCTTGATTATAGCTCTGCAGAGAGGTATGTGGTTAATAAAAAGACACAAGGCAGGGAGTAATGGTTGCCATGTTGGTTCTCTGTCATTTCAACCTCTTTGATGCTAGGAGAATTCATCACTTTGTGAGTGGGTGGGCAGCAGGGCTCTGCTCCCCACAGAGAAAGCTCTGAGGTCAGTCCCTGTTCTGGAATCTTGGTGGTTAGGTCATAGCCACATGACTTCATATGTGTCTATCAGATATTCCCATTGGAGGGCTTTGAGTCTCAAAAAGTTTGATGGGAAGATCAGGGATGGTGTAGGAATCACCTTGTGTTAGTGACACCCAGAATCCAGGGTCAAATGTGAGGACAAATGATGGCATTGGTCAACTGGCAGTGGGAATGGTATTTGAGCAGATGGTTTCTTGGACATGAATTTGGCTTTTCTCCCTTAAGTGTGAGATTCTCTCTCCTTCCTGTTGATACTGTGACCTACCTGATGTTCCATTTTATTCCTTTTTTTAAAGCAAGAAATGAGCAGAATGACTATTAGTTCATTTCTATTATTTGCAAATATAACCCTACAACCATAACTGCTGTACCCTGAAGGTTTTTTTTTTTTTTTTTGTACCTGGGATTGAACCCAGGGGCACTTAACCACTAAATCACATCCCCGGTCCTTTTAATGTATTTTTTATTTAGAGACAGGGTCTTGCTAAGTTGCTTAGAGCCTTGCTAAGTTGTTGAGGCTGGCTTTGAACTTGCAATCTTCCTATCTCAGCCTCCTGAGCTTTTGGGACTACAGGTGAGTACCACCATGCCTGGCTATTCCTGAAGATCTTCATCTTTTTGGTACACAAACTTGAATTCTTAAGTGAGAATATATCTTTACTCCTTTCTTTCCTTCTTTCCAGGGAGAACTTGTCATTGGAGGCTCTGATTTCATCTTATTTCCCAGTCATAGGTGAACATGTTGGGAACCACAAGTTTTACTCCATGGTTTTTCTAGTGGTGGATGGTGTCTTTATGTAATGGAAATGGGCTCACCTGACCATGTCACCATTACTGAACTCTCATCAAACAAGAATTTATAGAAGTCGACTACATGTTATTCAGACTCCACCCGAAGTGCAGCAAAAAGGCGATTCAACCAAAGAAATACCTCAGCTTCTGCATGTCACGTGTGCACACCTTTTTAGACCTCCATTTTGTCTGCTCCCTCATCGGATCTGGGAGAAGGGAAGCTTGGAGTGGTAGTTGCTATTCCTCTGAACCTCAATTGTCTTTCTTCGCAGCAGGACTAAATGTGAGAAGCAGGTTTTATATTTAAGTTCTGTACTTTGTCCTGCAAAACTCACACACATGATATCTGCCAAGTTAGAGTTCTGCAGAAAATTATACTTTGAAGAAATTAAACAGAGGCACTCACCTGTGTGGGCACTGCAGGGGAGAGGACAATCCCAAGCTGATGCCACAGAGCATGGCTGTGGCTCCTATTTTCTTCACCTTTCCCCCTCCTTCTTCAATCCAGTCTGTTAACAAACCTGCTCCCCACTCAGTTGTGCCTTTGCTAGTTCTTCACCACTGTAGTCCAATACCTGGAACAAAACAATTCTTGGCCCATTTTATATTGAATAAAGTGCTTAATTTGCTTTCCTCCTACCTCTTATGAAGTTGCTGATGAACTTGTCCTTGGGAAAGAGGGACAGAGAGAGCTACATGGAGAAGAATAAATGCATGCCTTTGGATCAGGTAGGCCTCAACTAACAGCCTAGATGTGCTTATCACTTACAGTGTGACCCTGGGAAAATTACTTAGCTTTTGTGGTTACAGGTGACAGAATCCTGACTCCAAGTGACATAAGCACCAAAAGGAATTTGTTGGATCAACTGTGAGGTAGAGTACCCATTGGCCATGTCTGATTTGGGGGATCAGTGCTCTCATTAACTGGTTTCTTTCAATTATCTTTTTTCTTTTGTTAATGGTTTAGTCTAAAAGGTCATTTTCAGTGGTCTGGTAGCTTATCAGTTATGTGACTGCCATATCTGAGTCTTCTCTCAAGTGTCCTCCTGCACTCTGTCATCTTAGTTCCATCTTGAGGCTCTCAGGTATCTTGGTGGATCTGGGTCTCTGTGAACCTATTCCTGGAACCATGGAGCAAAGAGATGGCATTCCCTGACATCCATCTAAACTCTTCCTATCATCTTCTTTATTCCCTTTTTCTTGCACTAAAGGCATACTATTCTACCTGGGTCAATTCCAAGTAAGCTGAATAATCAAGCTAAGCTTGATTTCTGATGTGATGACTAGAAACAGAGATGGAGTGGAGTGTTAGGGAAGAGGGAGGTGGCTGGCTGGGAAGAAGCAGCCCATGCTGCAGGACCAGCTTGCTGGCTGTGATCATATCTAAGGTTGGGATCTGGAGACAACTCTGTCTTCCATCCAGATTCCCACAGCAGGAACAAAGTGACCTGAGCCTTTTCTCTCCAAGCCCCCGACACAAGTGGTTTCCATCAAGTTTTGTAATGTGAGAGCCTCTCTGGAGGCCAAGGCCTTCATGCTTAGCTGAAAGTTGTTGAGATGTTTCCAATTTTTTGGCAAATGGATTGGCCTCCAGATTGACAGCCTTGGAAATTGTACTCCTCTGTTTGTTCCACAAACAGGTATCACCTGTGAACTGTAAGAGGAGGCAGAACATGGTGTTCAAGGCCAACTCCTGATTTTCCATGGTCTCGGTTGGGTGTGGGAGGGTGAGGGAACATTTGGAGAGTCCAAAGAAGTAATGTCTATGACCAAAAATTAACAATGATTATGCTAAACCAACCATCTGCATTAACTTCTGATTTAGTAACAGATTTCTAAAGTTAATTGCTGAAAAGTAATATTCAATTGGTTTCAGTTCTAACTCATTCATAATCCTGAGGCTGTCTTCTAAGAAGGGAGCTGATGAAAAGCAGCTATTTTGTGTCCTATTTAGACTGTAAGGAATAGGGTCAGGAGAGTCCATGCTCATGAGCTCAACCAGTCCTTACCTTTACTTAATAGTCATACATCCAAGAAACTGGTGAAATTGGTGATAGGAGTCTAGTGAACTATCTTATAATCTTATAGCAAGAAGGAAGATAAGAATAATAAAGTAGCTATGGTTTATTAAGTACCTAGAATGTACTGGATGTTCTCTTTATATAATTTCTAATTCCCAAAATAGTCTTGCGGGTAAGTGTTAATACCTTATTTTATAGAAGATAGACACTGGATTTTGTAGAGTTTAGACACTGGATCTTGGAAAAACCATCACTTGCCCATGTTTATATAAGGCCTATATGATGTGTCTGGGATCCAAGTTAAGTGTGAGCTCTACATGGTGCTCTGGGCAAACGTCACGCTCCCATCCACCCTGAGATCCAGGACAGGTCAGGGCCAAGAAAGAGATGTCCACTGCTCACTCAGCTCTTAGGTTGGAACCCACTGTTATGGTCTACTTTATTTCTGGGAGAAGAAATGAATTAATTTGGCTCCCAAACCTAGGGAAGGTGAGAGTGGTTGAGAAGCGGGATAAGGTAGAATGGTCCAGCGCAGAGAATAGGAGGTAGGAAATTAGGCATGATGGTTTAGGGAATTGTTTATAGACTTTCCTCAAGGTAAAAGCATATTCACTGTATCATTTCCATGTTCTCAGAGATATTCACTTTATCATTTCCACATTCTCAGAGATGATGAAGTCCTGGTCTAAGGAAATCTTACTTTGAAAACCAAATCCATGGGTATTAAAAGTCACTAATTTCTCTGGTAAAGACTGGTCAATAGAGACCAATCATATTCATCTACTGTCTCTGGTTATAAGAGAAAACCACATCTAAACCACTCATTTGTCCTTCTGCCCAATACCGATACTCTTGATGGCCCTACAGAATTTTGGGAAAATATCAATATGGCTGTGAAAAGTCAAGAAGCTCTGGGAGAAGTAGATATGTGAAATCTTTGGCCAGAAAGATGTCTTCAGAAATGGCATTGGAAATAGTTCCAAGTCTGGAGTCTGAGGCCAGCTTCACCACAGGGACAATTTCCTCAGTGATTGCTGCTCTATCACTTCCCCTGGGTCACCATATCTTCCCTGACTTAGATCTTGGTTTCTGCTCTATTATCTAGTGCCACCTCCCAGGACAATCTGAGATGGCTATCATCCCCATAAGTAGTGAATATGAGAGTAGATTCAGTGCCAGTAAAAATAAAAATAATATTCCCTAAGTGGTACACTGTGTCCCAGTCACTATGCAAGGCACTTTACCTAAAATAAATCTTCATGGAGAAATCCCACGTTACAGGGTTAACTATCTTGCTGAAAATCACACAGCTAGTAAAAGAGTCAGAATCCAAATTCAGACTTGCCAAACTCTGGATTCCAGGGCAAGGAAGACAGAGTCAAAGTCATCTTTCTAGTTGCTATTACCAGCATCAGTGCTCAGTTATTCCTATTCTTGGGGTGCTCTGCAGAATTCCCAGTACTGGGTACTGTTATCCCCAGAAAGGAAGCTCAGGTAGAGAGCAACTGAGTGAAACTGAGTGAAATAGTTATAGCCCTAAAGAGGTCAATAGGTGAACCTAAAACTGAAGGTGGGTGGTCCATTAACTTACTACCTCTTTGTAAAAACTGCTAAGATATCCAATTGATTGCACGAAAAATATAGATTTAGGGAAACACATCAGTCACACTGATAAAGATGTCAAATACCGAGACACATTTGTCTAGTGAGCCGAGTGGTAAGAAATGTGGGAGGGTGGGGTTAGGAATGCTGGACAGGGTGACGTTCATGCTCAGTATCACAGAAACCAGAGCAGGAGGAGATTTGGAAGCCAAGTCATCTAGCCCTTTATCTTACCCCTGACTAGCAGTGCCCATCCCCACCTCAGATACCACAGAGACAAGAAGCTCACTATTTCCATAACCTTCAAATACCACCTCTGGATATTTCTAACTTCCTGAATGTTGGATCAATAGAAGTAGAACATCAGTATTTTCAGATTGAGCTTCTGTGAGTGCAAATGAGGATATTGCAGTAGTCAGACACATGTGGATGTCCATTTTGGAAAGGTGCTTGGGGGGTTCCTTATAAAGTTTAACAGATACTTGGCCATATGGTCTAGCCATTCCATGTCTAGATATTTACCCAGTGACAACACATGTCCATGCTAAAACCTGTATGCAACCATCAAAAACTAGAAACAATATAGATGTTCATCAATTGGTGAATGCATAAAAGAAATGTGGTGTATTTATACCATGGAATAATACCAGTGAAGCAAGACAAAGAACAGATTACCCTATAGGGACATCATGGATAAATCTAAAATGCTTTATCTAAGTGAAAGAAACCAGATCAAAAAGTCAAGGCTACATTTGTTATGATTTCATTTATATGACATTCTAGAAAAGGCAATAAATAGAATACAGGCACACACACACACACACACACACAAACACACACACACACATACCTGATTGGTGGTTTCCAATAGCTAATGATGAAGAGAGGTGTTTGTTGACTACAAAGAGGTATGAAGGGGTGTTTTGGAGCAAGGAAAAAGTTCTACATTTTGATTATGGAAACGATTTTACAATTATGTGCACATATGAGATTTCATTAAACTGTATACCTAAGAAGGATAAATTTTGCAGTGTGCAAATTATACCTTGATACATCTGACTCTGGAAAAATATTAATAATTATGTAGTCATAACGTTTGATACTTTGATGATTTCTGTGTGGCTGCAGAATTTCCGTGCTCATGGTAATAATGATATTGAGAGGACTGTCTCCCTTCTCCCCTCCTCTGGAAACCTGTAAGGATGGCTTCATATGGATGCCTGAGTCTGACCACTGCTGGAGCTTGGGCCATTATTCTCTTCTGTAACAATAATTCTAGTAGCTGGTCCAGGTTATGTCTCTGAATTTGCTCTTGGTTGGTGGCCTTGTGCTCTGGAGCCTGATGTGCTTCCTGCTCTTCTGAGCGACTTGATGCTAATTTTTTTTCTGGCCAGGCAGAAATGATTTTCTTTTCTCAGTTTTTTGCTCTTCTGTGGTTCTTTCTGAGAATTGCTTGGGCCCTTTGAGATCATTGTTCATCTATTGTTTACACAAGGCCTTTTCTTTTTTGGTTCACACCACCAGAGTGCCTGGGACTGGAGAAGACTAAAGCAAGGCCACCTCCTTGCTAGTCCTAGAACCTCTGCTTTCACTGTGGACCTCAAGGACCTGGCTGTTCTATACCCTTTGCAGCGTTTCTCCTTGACATTTAGTTTCTAGTAGCATGTTCTACCCGCAGATCCCAAATTCATCATGCTTGTTTCTACATCCCAACCCTAAGTTTGGACGTAGTTCGAGCACCTTTCTTAGGGCATTCCTACCTGCCGCAGTCTGGCTGGGCACAAAATCACGAGCCACTCAAGCAGGAACGAAGTTTATTTTTTGAAACTGCCGCCAATGTCCAGTAACGCCCGGGAAGAATTTTTTCTTCCACCCACATGGTGGCCTCCTCTCAGACCGCAGCGAGAGCTCCTCCCCCGGAACTCCCTCCTACTGTACTTCCCCAACCAATGGGAACTCTCCAGGAGTCCCGTCGGCCTAGGTGAACAGCAGGAGTCCAATATCCATATGAATGCAAATCTTAACATAATCATATCATCTCAATGGCTAGCTGGCGTCACCTTTCGACCAAAAATGCCATGCATCATATACTTGGCTCTTAGCACCTACCTCATGCATATTATCACTATACATTGACTTAGGGGGTGGGGAAGCTGGGAAGAGATCAAATTTCTGATGTTCAGACTATTCAATTTTAGTTTTGGTCTAAACCCGTCTTTTACATAATGAAGGTGCTTTTGTCTTCCAGCATCTTCTGTTGTTTTTCTCACTCTCCTTTGGAACTATGCTGAGTAAATCTAATGTCTCTTTTAGGTGACAGGCCTTCAGCTATTTGAGGACAATGACTCTATCTTTCTGGATTCTTCTGTTCAGGCTGCCTCAGCAAGAATTCTGCGTCTGCTGGGGACACTGCGTTTGGAGTGCTGAATTGAGATCCAGACCCTGCATGTAAGAAAGATGGAAAAAATAGAGGAAGTGCTGGTCCTCAGTGGGGAACAACCAGAGACTCCCACACTACTCCATAGGGAGAATCCGCCTTGTGCTCTGGGTCTGCCTCCTCTCCTGTGCAGGAACATCTACAGCAATAACCTGGCATTACCATGTCCCTATTGACCAGAAATCTCCTTGCCATCAGGGAATCTCGAGTGAAATGCTACTGCCTATCACAGTTCTCCGTGGAATTATTGGCACTTCTTTGGAGCAAACAAATATTTTTTTCTAGTGTTTTTTTTTTTTTTTTTTTTGGCGGGGTGGGGGCAGCACTCAGAATGGACTAAGCAACTCCTAGGAGTATCAGCTTGGGCTAGATTCTGTGTGGAGGTCCAGAGGGAGGAAAAGTCCTGGTTATAATGGAGAAAACATCCTAGACACATAGGAGAAAAGACCCAAAAACAAAAATAGGGAAGTGTAATGTACCCAGCTCTGCTCACAGCACATGGGAGTTGGCACTGTGTTCAGCTCTGGTGCTCAATCAAGGTCGAAACATAACCCAAACATTGGCAGGCCCGTGGGCCAACTCCCTACATTTCTGGAATGGTCTTACTGAGAATAAGAAATACATTTCATCCCTTAGAATTTTCTTTATTCTTTACCACCCAGGCTGCCTCTGCTCTCTTGTGCTGGACAAGACCCATCTCATTCCAAGCACACGCTGCCATGTTGTCTGAGCACAGGTGGAAACCTCTTGTCGCCCCCTCCAGAACTCTTTTTTGAGGAGATTCCCATATTTATTTAGAAGAAATATTTGAGTCACTATGGGTGGAGGGTGACACCTAAGAGAACTGCTTTGTATGGGACAAGAAGGGGAATATGTGTCACTTCTGAGAGAGGGGAGTGGGGAGAAGAAAAAGAAAGAAAGAGAAAGAAAGAAAAGAAGGCAGAAAGAAAGAAAAGGAAAAAGAGGTGAGGGGCATTTAGAGATAGAAACGACCTTGGAGGTGATCCTGGCTCTGGAGAGGCTTAATATGAATTACTAAAATTACCAAGTGACAGATGGGAATGAGAGTGCTAGGGCAGGGGCTGTGTATGTACTGTGCTTACACCTGAATGGGAGAGGCCAGAGACCATGGCCAGGCTGCAGGAACTGAAAGAAGATTTGAGCCTGAGTAGCAATTGTCTCCTTGTTTGTTTTTCCCGCTGGACCTCCTCCTCCGTGGGCTCTGTCCAGTGTCCAGTACACTGCCCCAAACATAGAGGGCCCTCATTCAATGTTTTTTAAAGGAAAGAATGATGGAAAACTAGACCTTTTCAGAGAAATCCTCTTATTTTGCAAGTAACAAAGGCTAAAATGTAAATGAGAATGTTGTAGAAACTGCAAAGTCCCTATATTGATTTCTTCTGAAGTTTTCTGATTCATTTGAAGGAAGACAGAGCCAGATAAACTTTATATAAATGTTGTCCCTATCTGGATGAGTCTAGCTCAGATGGATTGGTCTATCTCAGATATACCTGTGCCACAAAGACATGGAATTGTGTGGCATCATGGAATATGATCTGGAATCATAGAAAATTAGCATGGAGAGGGGATATTAGAAATCACTTAGACATAATCCAAACTCTTCCCCTTATGTCACTCACCACTTTCTGTTTTTGTTTCCTTGCTTTATAAAATGTCTTTTATTTTGAAACAAGGCCTTTCAGCCTGTCAACATAAGTGTGTTTTCCACTCAGGAATAAACTTTGATTAAAAGCATGAAACATGATTGGCATAAAATCAGTGCTGAAAAGTGCTTTGCAAATGTTTTACAAGAAATAAATAGTACTTCAAACTCCAATGGCTTCCTGATAAATCAACAGCTTGATAGGATGTTTAGTTGGGCACTCAGATGGGATGGGCAAAGTGGACTTAGAACTCAGTGGGACTTGGAGAAAGCCGACTAGGGGTTACAGTGGAAGGGGTGAAGGATGAAATGGGTGGAGATAGAAGAGATGAGGTGGGAGGAGATGTTGCAGAAAGGATTGGTGAAATGGCAGGAGGTTAGGTGAGGGGTTATGTGCCCAGGAAAATTGTGCCATGACAGAGTCTAAGAGTCCATATGGAGGTTGTTCGTATTCATATGATGTAACCCTGCCCTATTTCCATCTTCTGCAAATCTTGAGCTGAATTTTGGAACAAAGTGGCCAATTTTCCCAGGAATTTGTAAAAATCTCCTGCAGGGAATTGAATCTTCAGTAGAGTGTAGAATGGTCTGATGAATCTTTACTGAGAGTATAAGGAGCAGGGAAAGCCCAATCTTTAATGTCCTGGAAATGTATATACACACAAACACCAGCATCTTGAAATTTGTGTTTTAAAACAGAATGGGGAAAGAGATAAAAGTCATACATAAACTGTCATTTCAGCTATAAATGATAAACATCAACTGAGTGCCTTTCGTATAGATTTTGTCTATCTGTGGAATTTTGATGATGTCATTATTGCACAAGAGATCTTGTAGCTGGTGTTAGAGGATGCAGATCATCACCCATGCAAAGTTGGGAAGATTTGAAAAAGAAGATGGCAGTAGCAATATGTTATCCCAACAGCTTTCATGGTAAACTCTGGTGAAAATTTTCATATCATTTTGCATCCAAATAAGAGTGGCATGTGACATACCCCGGAACCAATCCCTGGGCCAAGAGTGCAGTGAAATTTAGAGCTGTTGTACTCCTGAGTCCATGAAAGCATGAGACAGTCTCTACCCAGATGGCTTTTTAAAAAAAAATTAATGAACTTATTTATTTTAATTAGTTATATATGACAACAGAATGCATTTTGATTCATTGTACACAACTTTTCATTTCTCTAGTTGTACACAATGTAGCATTGCACCATATGTGAAGTCATACATGAAACCTAGGATAATAATGTCCATCTCATTCCACCATCTTTTCTGCCCCCATACCCCCTCCCCATCCTTCCCTCCCTTTTGCCCAATCACAGTTCCTCCATTTTTCCCATGCCTCCCAATTATGGATCAACATCCACTTATCAGAGAGAACATTTGGCCTTTGTCTTTTTGAGATTGGCTTACTTTGCTTAGCATGATATTCTCCAACTCCATCCATTTACCTGCAAATGCCATAATTTTATTCTCTTTTAATGTTGAGTAATATTCTGTTGTGTATAGTACCACTGTTTCTTTATCCATTCATCTATTGAAGGATATCTAGGTTTGGTTCCACAGTTTAACTATCGTGAATTAAGCTGCTATAAACCCAGATAGCTTTATTTCTGAAGAGATCTCACGAAAAGGTAAAACCTCTTGGATTTCCCAGGTGATGAGCTATGCCATTTGCTGGATTGTACTGTCAACAAAGGTGCTGTGTAGCTTGTGAATCCTAGCCTTCTCTTCTGGCACTTGATTCACCCTTATCATAGCTTTCTCCACAGTCAACACAGAGATGAATGAGAGTGCTGAGTCTGAACCCTTCCTGTGAAATCAGTGATGATGCAAAAAACAAAAGGCTCCCAGGGCTTGCATGAAGTCTGTGCACAGACAGGGGTACATGGCAAGTTGTTTGGTTTACTAGCCTGTCCATAATGTCACTTTCAGCTTTCTCATTGGGTAAGGAAATGAAGGATTTGTGTCCATACTCAAGTTGATGAAGAAGATGCTAGCAGTGTCACTGGCAGGGTGGGTCTACTGTTGATGTAGAACAAAAAAGGACAAACACAGCAGTGTTCTCCAGCAGAGTATAAGCAATAATCTTTAGATTATCAAAGATCAGGTGGCCTTCCTCCACCTTGTGACTATGGATGCAGAGTTGTCACATTATCAGTAAGTAAGACAGTGGCCTACATTTTCAGCCATATCAAAGCCTTCTGTCCCTCTGGCAACCCCTTCTTTCAAGCACTGATCTCCATCCTCCATCACAGCACAGTTGCATCCTCCTCCCCCTGCCCTCCAGTGATCAGCTTCCATGTTTGAGCAAAGATGATTTCTGAATGGATGTTAAGAACTCATCTAGCTGTTCCTGGGTTATGTCTCTCAGTCCCATGCTAGTCACGTCCCATTTGTTAACTTGCTCCATAGCAAGAGTGAGGCATTTTGCAACGTCTTCCACCACCTCACTGTTGGCTAACATGCTACCTATATATACTCTTGGCAATATCTTTGGCTGTGAAGGGACAGTCAGCAGAAAGTATAATAACTGTGATCTCAGCACTCTCATGTTTGGTACCTGCATTAGACATAGTGGCCTAAGAAGGACTAACCATTGACAAGAGATCACAAAGCAGAAGTTGGAGGTAGGAAAGGTCATGGTATTTGTGTGAAGGTAGAAGATGATACAAATGCAGAACATTCTTCCCTGGCCCACAGACACTGTGGAAGTTCTTTTCCAGTGGCTGCTCCAGGCCACTGGTGATGATGGTGCTGTGCTTCCCTAAGATCATTGCCATGATGAAGTGTTTGTCATAGATCATCTGTCTCATGTATTGGGAGCTGAAATTTGTTGATGGAGTTAAAAGAGATTTCAGCCTGGTTATTTTGCAGTTTCATTTGCTTATTTCCATCACATCACCCAAAATGACCTGAGAATTTCCATGGGCAGTTTCTGAGGCATCTCCAACCACAACTTTCTTGATTATGGGAGGACTTTCCTGTCCCAATTTAAACTTAGCTTAGTGATACAGTGTTATTATCATGAATAAGGACGTCCATATTTCAGAGATGTGGGCAAAGACTTGATTTCACTGTTGTTCATGTGTGACAGCCACATAGATCTGATTGTCAAACCAACCACAGACGGGTCCCTTTAGGTGTCAGGCTGCCAGGTCTTGTCAGTGCAGATGATGAAGTAGAATTTGTGCTGCTTCCAGGTTCTTCACCAGGCAGTTCTGTCTGTTTATCTGCTTTCCATCAGTAGCAGTGACAGTGACAATAACCAGAATATCCTTAGGTACACTGGCCACGTGATATCTGTGAAGAAGATGGAAGAGTCTAGGGCATGATACCCGGAGGACACCGTGAAGATGGAAAAAAGGCCAATGACAATGGCCACTCCTGTCACAGTATAAGAAAAGCACTCGAATGCAATACCAGTGGACGTGTTCTCACTTCTAATACCTGAAGCTAGTGAGGCCATCTGTCCATGACTGTGCCCAAACTGATGTTTGTGACCATGCCAGTTGCTGTGTCTTTCAGATAGCTTATGGAAGTAAAGCCAGTGTTCTTTGTTTCCAGAGGACTGTCATGAGCAGAGCCACAAAAGCAGGATTGGGGCTTAGGCCTCTTAGTGAGAGATAATATTTTCCCCCTACCTCTCTTGAGAAGCCAGCAACCTGATATCCATAGGAGCTTAAGCTTCTCCTTTAATTACTCTACCATGCCTGACCTCTTGCTGTCTTGCAAGGTGCATTCTTCTCTGCATTTCAGATGATAAGAGCTTGCTGAGGAATACTTTTACTGAAGCTGACCTTGATTTTTTTTTTAACCTCATTATATTCAAGGATCCCCATAAACAGAAGAAGCACAGAGTCTACATACACATTGCCTAGAGATGCAGGCTTAGCATCTGAGTACTGAATCACAAATGCAACCCAGCACAGAAAAGCTGGAAAGCCACAGAAAAGAGAAGCACTGCACCATCTGTTAAGGAACTTGATGATCTTTGATGTTTCTCTGAGAGGCCTGAGGGTATTGGGGCTGTCCCAAAAAGGAGCTTTGTAGCTCTAGTGTTACATGGAATATTTGAACCACATTTTTCTCCCAGTTCATTATTGCTGAATTTGTGTTCATCTAGGTTAAGTTCTTTCTGGTAACTCTTTTTGAGTCCCAAGCAGTTGTTTTTATGGCCCCTATACTTTTTCTTGCTGTCCCTTTTTTTCTCTATATCTGTAGTTCTGCTGAGCTACACACTGAGTAAATTTTTGGTATGGTCTTGGCCATGATGTGAATGATATGGGTGCTGGTGGACTGGAGTTGGACAAAGGGATCTGGGTCTCAGGAGGGTACAGCTTCAGTTGTGGGACATATTAATGCCTGGAACTCAGTGGCCCAGCTGCAGGAGCTTGAGGCAGGGCCACAGCCTGGACACTGTGCTGGCATCCTGTACCTCATTGGATTCTGTACTTACTCCCTATTTTCTATCATTTCTGTTCATTTCTTCTCTACTCTTCCAAGTTGAAGGACTCCTGAGGGTAGAAACTGTGTTATTTTCATCATTATATTCTCATTACATGGGAATTCAAAATGGATATTTGTTGAAAGACTAAATGACGTCAAACTTTAGGGTCTGTGGGCTTGTATCTGCCAGTTGGCAGATAAATATAGCCACTGACTAGAAGACATAAAGCCTGAACGAACGGGCCTCATGAAGTGGGGAGCTTGAAGCAGGTCACCAGTTCTCAGCTGGAGCCCCTGGAAGTCCTTGCAAAGAATAAAGTACATAAGTCAACCTAAGCCTCAGTTCTGCATCTGTGAGATCAGGTAGAAGTATTGTGGTTGTTATGATTAAGTGAGAGAATGCATGTAGCACATTTAGAACTATTTCTGGTAACTAGTAAGCACTCACATTTAGTTATTAAAATTATATTACAATAAGTTATCATAATTAAAAAGCAGTAAGTCCACAGCATCCTCAACACAACCCTGTAGACAAAGTACTTAGTACGGCTTAGGGTGACATTTTTGGTAGGCCTTGATTTTGGAAGGTTCACATAGGCGTCTTTCAGCTCTGTTTTCTCAAGAGAAATAAACCTTTGCATCACCCTTCACAGGGCTCTTTCCAGGCAGAGAACATAGCATATTCATCCCATTATCCTTTATATCTAGCATGATACAGACATGACAGAGTGCTAAATATACATTTTGAATGAATGAATCCAATAAGTATAAGGCACTGACATGGGATGTTGGTCCAAAACTCATCCAGAATCAGTGGTGACTTAATTGTGGTGAAACTGA